TCGCGGCACCAATCGCGAGAAGCAATAATGGGGTATATGTCTCTGGTTTTATCAGTGCGGAGAATATTAAGGACACGTGTTGGGCATTATCTAAAGCAAAGACCGAGTTATATATAATCAATATTACTTTCTCTATTTAAACAGGATTAATTGTATTTGTTTTAAAATGTCGTGTATATATACATTTCCTATTTTAGAAATATGATATATTTTTTTTAATTTTTTAAAAGACAGAATACTACGAGATATTTGCTCAAGCAGAGGAGGGTGAAGCGCGTTTTACAATGTGCCAAGCATTTTCCCGCCACATCTCATCACCAAAACAAAGAAACTGAAAGAGAGGAAATGCAGTGGCGGATATAGATAGGGTTGTGGGGGTTTCAACGTCCTCCTTTGAATTTAAGAGAGAGAGAATGAGAGAGAAGTCCCAAATATTTGTTGTGTTTGTTCCGTGAAAGGCCACTTTTATTTATGTATGAAGAAAATTTGGTTGTTGAAAAATAAATTCCGCGCCTGCAATGTTACATGTACTGTGTTATGTCTTTATTTACAGATGAATATAAGATATACATGTATTTTATTAATGACAGATCACGCATTTCGGTCTCTATTTTTCTCTTTTAAATAAAAAAAATAAAATTTTAATCAATAATTTTCCAGTCATTTTTCTTTTTATTTCCAACTAGATTAACTTAAAAATAATAGAACATTTACTTAATATAACACCAACAAGAAATATACATGCATATATATTTAACAACAATTGACGTTACATAGCAAAATCTTATAATGCTGTAACTAGGATTAGCCGATCTATAATTTACAAAAAAAAAAAAAAAAAAAAAAACTATTGTTAACTATAGTTTTGATCGTAAACTATGGTTTAGAGTCGTGAAATCTAGTTTCACAGAAAATTGTGTATCTCGGATACAAAATAAGAGATTCTGTTCCTAAACTGTGTTTCTCAAGTGTAAAACTATGTTTATTGCATTTTTGTGAATTTGGCGCTTTGTATGTCTGTAAAGTATACTTTACAAAGCCTAAACTATAATTTACATTTGTTAAGTATAGTTTAGAGTTGTAAATCATAGTTTACAAATCGTGAAACTATATTTATCAGATAAACTATATTTTGCAGTAGCAAATGATTGTTTTCCGTGTTAATTATAGTTTACGCTTGTGAAACATAGATTATCGTGTAAACTATAGTTTACATATGTGAAATATAGATTATCATCGTTAACTATAGTTTACGGTCTGTAAACTATAGTTTACAGTCGATAAACCTAGTTTATCAACTGTGAAACTATGATTAGCTCATTTTTGTGAATTTGGCGTGCCATAGTTATTCACCCATATATTTTTCTTATACATACTGTACACAATATAGATAACTGTGATTGTATGGCTGTTGAACTAAACTCAGAGAATATGATACTTAATTGACTTTCACACTTGTAAAAATTTGTTGATCCATTCTGAATTCTCTCAGCAGCCCTGTTTACTGTACTGCCTGTTGATCCCTTTCTTTTGGTGCAAGGTTATCTTGAATGGGCCAAGGCCTAATTAAGATTTTGATAGGAGATTCTTTCATGCGTATGTATAAACAAATAATTCTAACAGTGAAGGTTTAAACAGTCAGTGGTTTCTGTAATCTATATACATTCTGTACCAATAAAGATGTGATGGCTCCCATTCTTGGAATTGTATCAAGCCAAGATAATACAATGTATACATAGTGTCGATTATATCTCAAATAAGACGTGATTTATTTCCAATAGAATCAGGGTAGCATTTCCTCTAAGGAAGAAACATTAGTAGGACATAGACACAGGGAAGTAGAAATTTTTTCAATAATGGAATTTTTGAGAAGAAATTTTGCTTTAAAGAAGGAAAATCTTTAGAACCTCAGATCAACAGAAGTGATGATAAGAAAGCTAATGGTAGCCGTAGCACTGTCTGTCTGATTAGTAAAGTTTGCTTTCAGAAACAGACAGATTCCTCTGGTCAATCATTGGTTAGTTTATGACCTTGAGTCTAATAGAATTTGGCAAAACCAAGGTTTTGCTGACTTAGTTCAACAGATTTGAGCCACAATCTGGCAGCAAGGTTAGTCGTTAATTATCATGATAATTATTTTACTGTCTTTTCTAGTCTCAAGTAGGAATTATGAATTATTTGATTATCAATGATTAATAATGTACTTGCATTTTTATTGTGTACAATTACAGTTATAGATTTGAATATTGCTGGGTAATTTGCTTAGTTCCCTAAGGGTCATTTAATTAAGTCTCGTGTGGATTCCACCACATGTTGGTCTAAATCATGTGCTGGACTCCACCATGTGCTGGAGAGAACACATTCAGTAGTGATTCTTAGTCAAACCACTCAAATGGAAAGTTTTAATGATTAAATTTAATGAAAAACTCATTTCCATTAAAAATAAAGAACAAACAAGAACTGATTTATGTCTTGATTCTTATAGAGGGGAACCTTAATTGTTAATCTGTTAATCTGCTCACCAATAATCAAATTGTGGGGAACACAATTTATTTTTATTTATTTCAAATTATAACAAAGAATTTTCAGTTATCCAGAAACTTCATTAATTTGTCCATTAATAGATTTCTTGGCAGAACAAGCTACAAGTGGACTGATTTAACATACAAACATGTTGTTATGTGTAAGCTACCTAGCTATGGCGATTTATTTAGCTTGACCAGAGGCACTGACTTGTTGCTTTCATAATTAGGAATAAAAATGGTATTTTCTTTAATTAGATAATAATTACCAACACTGACATTCATAAATATAGCTCTGTATAGCCACAATAACTGGGTTTTTTCCCCCTGTGAACTATATATATATATATATATATATATATATATATATATATATATATATATATATATATATATATATATATATATATATGCTCTTCTAAACTTAAGTATTTTTTTTATATATAAGAAATAATTAAGGTTTGTTTAGCTGACATAATCTGTAGGAAATACATTTCAATCCTATGACAGGATTTTCTATTATACAGGATATAAATGAGGGTATTATGTAGAAGAGTCGCAATAATGGATGATACCAAAAAGGTACGGAGTGGGACTAACAAATTTTAAAGTTGAGGGAATGTTTCCTTTCTGGACTCATTAATTGGTATTGTACAGTAACTGTAAAACACGGGTTACAGTGAATTTTCAAGGACACCCTATATTTCATTGATATGTCTGTAATTCATTAAATCCATTTACATGTATTCGCATTTTGTAGCATGGATTGAGAACATTTAAATAAATAATGTGTATAAACATGATAAAGTAGGATTAAGCATATTGTCCTTTATGTCGTTAATGAGATTAACAAGATTAGCCAGGTCATCTTGTAAAATCTGGACAGGAAACTAAGATGATAAGACAGCAAATTAGTTTGTGGGAAAAGACGGGAAACTTTTTAAAAAGGGAAGAAGGAAGATAATATAAACACTGCAATGAAAGCCTTATCGATTAATTGAAGAAACCGATTCTTGAAATGACATACCCATAAAGGGCATATTAATCATATTTATTTTATGAGGGTTGATCCAAAAGTGATGTCAACTGCTATAAAATCTATAATCATCCAATGTTATCAACAAAGTTTGACATAATAATACCACTGTCTATTTTGATATTTGCATTAAAATTTCTTTCTATTATATAAAACACTTTTTAAAATCTTAAAATAAACACAATGTAAGGTTTTGTTTATTGCCGCACAGCAAAAATGTTATCATCATCGTTATGACGTTACTTTTCGTACTTGTTTTGAGATCATCCGCGTATCTTTTTTAACCTCTCACGTGCTTCTTTTTAATAATTTTCACTGCTATTTTGCTATAATCCGTCTTGTTTTGGGTTGTAGTATTAAAATTATTTGAACTTTGTCCATTAAATGTTATTTCTAAATTCATTCCTTTTTCCATAAATCTAATGTATCATCAGATTCAAAATGAGTGTCGAAGAAAAATGTCATAATTTTAGGACAAAAGTCAAAATAGATAGAAATATTAGAGTATTAAGAGTTTTGTTGAAAACTTTTGATCATTCATAGGTGTCGGAAGCAAATTGAAAGTGGGGTGGCTAATTGAAAGTGGGGGGGGGGGGGGGAGGGGGGGCTAAACCAACGAAAAAAGGTAAACCCCAATTTTCAATGCTTATATTGGGGGGCTAAACCAACGAAAAAAGGTAAACCCCAATTTTCAATGCTTATATTATCTCTATCTTTGAAAATAAAAGTGGGGGGGGGGGCTAAGCCCCCCTCCCCTAGCCCTCCCGGTTCCGACGCCTATGTTATTTATGATTTTATAGCAGTTGTGACATTACACTACTTTTCGATCAATCCTAGTATAAGTGTAATTTTATATTCATATTAAAATTTGTTTCCTGAACTGGACATGCTGTGATATATGTTAGCTTCAGGGTGAAATTTGAAGATATGTGTCTTCCTAAATTATTGCACTTGTTTGATCAATTTGTACAGTGTATTACCATGATTAATATATTGTTAGGTAGAGCATTTATGTTCAACAAATAAACAATTGTAGGTATAAAATTTCTTAAAATTATAATACTATATCTTTAAAAAAATTCATAAACTTTGTTTTTAAGTTTCTAAGTACATATCGATAAAAGTGACACAGTAAAAATTGAACTAGGTCAAAGTTTCATACCTTGTGATTTGTTGATCGCACTTACCAGTATATTGAAGGCAGGTGCATTATTTGGGTAGACAATTGTTTATTTTGTATGATTATCAGCAGTTTGCTAATACTGCTGCAGATACATGTTAGATAATAGAGTAATGTCAGCTGTCTTGTGTACAGGCAGTGTGTTATTTATTCTATGTGGAAAAGTCCAGACAACAGCAAAGATTAAAACTTGCTGTATTAAAGGTGGTCATTATCAGTAAGGAAGTTTTATTCGTGTGTGATTGCATGTGATTTGAGTAATCAAATGTAGAGGACAACCTTTTTCTTTTCTTTCCTTGTGAGATTTTTTTCTAGTATAATTATTGGCTTGATTGCCACAATTTTTAGAAGGAAGCATTTGTTCTACATAGGAAATAATTAATGGTATTGTTGTGTAAAACTTGATGTCATATTAGGGAATCTTGCTGTTCTGTGAGCTATTAAGAGTGTTTAATACACTGTCATATTTTTCTCTCTCTGTCCTACAGGTTACCATAGCAGCATTATAATGAAGAAAAAAGAAATCTGATAGCATGGATCATGAAAGTGTTTGGATGAATGCAGATCAGCAAGAGCCCTACAATACATACTCCTAATGGCTGATAGGCCAACACTACAGGAATTGGAGAGCCTCACCCTTCCAGTACCTGAGGAAGATGTAGGAACCCCAGGGAACGTAAGTCAAGTCTCCTCGGTGTCAGCTCATAGTCGCTGCCTACTAGTCAAAGGCAACACGCAGCGAGACGTTTACATACAGCAAGGCCTGGAGTTCAGTCGTGGGGAGGATACTCGGTTTGGTATAGGAAAATGGAGACCACAGTGTTTACAAAGATGCCTCAACATCAAGGCATTTGTGGTGTGTATGAGTGTGCTTCTGGCTGTCTCAGGGACCTTGTCTACAGGATATTTGAACAGTGTGCTTACAACGATTGAAAAACGGTTTGAAATTGGTAGTTCTATCTCTGGACTTATCGCAGCATCCTACGAATTTGGTTCTCTGGTGGCAGTTGTATTTATCAGTTACTTGGGAGGACGTCGTCACATTCCAGTATGGATAGCAACGGGGATCTTCTTCATGGGTCTCGGAGCATTCCTTTTTACTCTGCCTCATTTTATTGCCGAAAAATACACTGTGTATCGGGGTTTATCTGTCAATAACACAGAAGAAAACATATGTAAAATCAATAGTGATTCCTTGGGGGATGGATGTATTGACAATGACTCAGGGAATTGGATGTATGTTTTAATTCTGATATCCGCCCAGATAATGATAGGCACTGGCAGTACCCCAATCCTTACCCTAGGGACAACTTACGTTGACAATCACGTCCATAAAGATAAAGCTCCAGCATATTTGGGTAAGCATTGTCTGCTAAACATAGTAACAGAATTACAAGAAGCTAAACATAGTAACAGAGTTATTAGCCATTCTGAAGTCTACATGTATACCAAGTTTTATTGAAATTGGACTGAACTGCAGAAGGAGTATCTTTTTGAAGGACTTTCACACATAATTCAATTCTAAGTACCCATGACAACATTTTTTATTGAAATCAAATACCCATACACAGAACTGTAAATCTTGTTATATACTGGCTGGTTTATAGAAATGAGACCTTTTACTAGAAAAGAAGCATTTTGAAAGAATTTCAAAGAAATATCTATTTAAAGTATTAATGGCAACTCAATTGAAATTCAAAACCAAATTAATCAATAAACTTTATGGCCAAGGTTATAGTCTTTCAAAAGTGTATCAAACTCCAATGTCAAGGTCAAAGGGACAAAATTTTTGGTACCCCAAGGTTAAAAGTTTAATTTTTTCAAAAGTAGGGCAAACTCAAAGGTCAAAGTGTCAAAATTGTTGGCCGCAGAAAAAGTTCTTGCCACAAGGAAAACAAGTGTAATATAAAAGCCCTAGCACCAGCCATTCAAAACATATGGCCAAGGTTAATGTTTTTTAAAAGTAGGTCAAACTCCAAGGCCAAAGTCAAAAGGTAAAAAATATTTGTACCATGGGAAAAAGGCCTTAGCATAAGGAATACATCTGAGAAGTATGAAACCCATAGAACTACCTGTTCAAAAGTTATGGCCAAGGTTAAAGTATGGTAAAATTTTGCAAAAGTGGGTCAAACTCCAAGGTCAAGGTCCAGAGGTCAAATATGTTGGTATTCAAAAAAGGTCATGTCGCAAGGAATACACGTGAAATATGAAAACAATATGCAGGCCATAGCTCCAACTAATCAAAAGTTATGGGCTAGGTTAAAAAAAGACAGACAAACAGACGGACAGAGCAAAAACTATGTCTCTGAATATTTGATTACAGAAGCATAAAAAATTAGCAAAATTTATTTCAGTACAAATTTATACTGTCTTTAAAAGAAAAAGTTGCATAGTATTACAAAGTGAAGCTTTCCAAGTAGATTTACATGTAATTGTGTCCTGCCTTCTGGCTTGAATTTTTTTTAATGGTCATCAGAACTTATATGCTCAATGATATCATCAGTCCAGACAAAATTTTACTAGTTTTGCTAACTAAACCGACAGTTGTCAACAACTTGACAATGGCTTCTTGTTATTGCTTTAAATGAAAAATTGGTTAATAAAAATAGAGCAATATGGGGAATCTCTCTAAAAATGTACACTTCCAACAGTTTTGGTCTGATTTCAGTATGATTAAGTGTTGTCATAGATACTGAAAATACAATATGTGAAAAATCCTCAAAATTCTTCTTGTCCTTTAAAGTTGTGATTTGATTTCAAGAAAAAATGGTACAAGTTTAGAGAACAACAGAATATGTGATTCTGTTAAAAAAAAAGAAAAAGAAAAAAGTTTCACATCAAGTTGCTTCTTTTCTTTTCTTTTCCTTTATTATAAGTACAAAGCAATAGAGCTCCAGTCTCATTAGAGACTTCTGGTTAATCACACAGTCACATGACAGTAAACCTAATTAAAAGCATTGCACAGGAAATGTTGAGTAATTTCAATTACATTTTAACATTGACAATCTGTTATATTACTTGTTCTAAATGTTTTTTATCGTGTCCATTAAGGACCCTCTATACACTAGAGGAAAATATTTTTTGGACATTGAGAAAATTATAGTGTGTAAAGGTGTAAGTATTGAGCTTATCTATCACATTTTCAACATAGGGTGCCTTGCATTTATCCCCAGGAAAAATGTTCAAAGACAACGAAGTACTGATGAACATAAATCACTGTTGTTTACTTAAGTGGGCAAAATACATGTATCTGCAAATGAAGTGTTATATCTATTCATCTTGGCCTTTTAAAGTGTTATGAATGCTTGATTTGATCACAAATTAAGTAACAAATTGTACATTTCAATTTATTTTATTCTTGATCAAAGGGCAGATCACTCTATTTCCATAAAAATACCACAAAATCAGAACTCTCAAGTATGTAGTGTATAGAGGGCTCTTAACTCTTGTATAGTAGATGATAATGTTCTTGTCCTTTGCAGCATTTATTTATGCCTCTGGAGTTTTGGGCCCTGTTCTGGGATATGGACTAGGGGCACTGCTATTGCAGTATTATGTGGACATGTTTAGCTTTGAGGTCAACATCCGACCTGGTGACCCAGAGTGGATAGGGGCCTGGTGGGGAGGGTTTATCTTATGTGGCACATTCCTCATGCTTCTTGTGTTCCCTTTCCTGTCATTTCCGAGGACGCTGGTGGCCGAGAAGGCTAAACTGCTGGAGTATAAATATAGTGAGGATATACTGAAGAAAGAGAAGAAGGAAGACCAGCAGTCAAAGCATAGTAATGAATACGGCAAGACTATTAAAGGTAAGGGATACAAAACATAGGAGGGGAAACATCTACACTGTAAAAGGATAATGGATACAGAATATCCCTCAGACTGAAATGTCACAATTTCATTGGTGTAAAAGTGACATGTGACTGTATGCTAAATTTCTCTGAATGGCAGGTGAGAACTATCGGGCGATTATATGCATGACTTCTAACCATCTCTATTTGAAATCATATAATACATGCATTTGTCTCTCACATTATAGGCCACAATAAAAACAAATCATTAATTATCAATCTCATGGACAGTGAGGCTTTGATGAGATTGATCAACCCAATATATTTCTGTAGATACATGTAGTAACAAACCTTATGTGATTTAATTTGTCAAGGACCATAAATAAAAGAGAGAAACTTCAAACATACACTGTAAATGAATGAGTATAAAGATAACTGGACATCATCATTCATATTGTTGAGTATAATTCTCACCTGCCATACATGAAAATATAGCCACTGGTCATGATACATTTAAACCAATAAAGTGCAGCATTTCAGTCTGAGGGAAAATAAAGAAGTATGAGAAAATCTAACCTTGTCAAAGGTGTGGGATATCAAAGTAAGTGTCTGGCCTCTGGGTAATGCAGTGATTTTGCACCATCTTTCTTACAGTATGACCATGGTGACATTGGATTAGTTGTCAGAATTAGGATGTTAGTGTGAGAGAGAGAATATCAAACGTAGTCAACTTGTCAGACCTATGAATTTTATTTTTTAAATGTACTCAGATTTTTGGACCTGTAATGAATACTGTAATGTATGAGAACATTCCAATGGAAGATACTGATAGCTTTCTATTCAGTCATTTTTAAATAAAAGAAGCTTAGATTTTCAAAAAATAGATCACCAACAGTATTTCACTATTGAAAATGTAATAATATGGTAGGGTTACTGGGGTAAATGAGCATAAGACAAACTTAACAAAATGAAAGCATGAAGGTAGCACAGAACTGTATTAACATTGAAGTCACAGGAATGTCATTGATCACCAAGATAAAAAAAAAAAACCCTGGGTGACAATGAAGAAATAATTCTGGTGATAAAATTATCAATGGTAGGAATTGGGAGACTTGAAGAAGAAGAGCAATCAGAATCATGTTAAATTACTGGCTGGGGAAGCATTTACTTTGGAGTGTCATTCATCTTGCAGTGCTAAATTGCTTCATTTTTTGGCCTAAATGATGTAATGTCTTTTATAATTATGGCATTTATGGAATTGTAATTCCAAGATGACTTCACTTCTTCACATTGTAAGTGACTTTATCTTTGAGAAAACTGTAAAATATTTCATTTGCAGAAAATGTTTGTTTTATATACATATTTGGAAAATTGTATTCTAACATTATTTAATGCTATGTATAATACTCTATGGCTTGATTTCTGAAATATTTGCTTAATACCTGAAAATTAAAGTCTTATTAATTCATCTGTCTTAAAGAAAAAGTAACTCGTTTCTGAGTACAGTGTAAGATCTATCTCAAAATCTGTTAGATAATCCTCTTGACCTAAGATGAGTGGCTCTCAACTGAAGTATGAATGTCTAATATATGTGGTGGATTTGAGATTGTCTTACCACTAACACTAACAAAACTAATCTCGGCTATAAACCCCCATAAATGACGGTAATACAACAAACAGCAACAAGTGACTCTGAAGTATTGATCGGATATCACAATCCATTTTAGTTCTACTAATATGATGGACAACGGTTCCCATGGGGATTAAGGCGACTGATTATTCTGTCACATCTCTTAAACCACATCTCACTAATTTCTGCTCACCTGAAGGTTTCATTCAACCCAGATTATTGAATTTATATCAAATTTCTTTTTTTTGTCTCTCTCATCTATGGCTTGTAATTGCCAAGTTTTTTTTTTCTTCTTTTTTCTTTTTTGAATAGTAGCAATTAAGTCTGCAAACACTATTGATGTCTGGAAAAAAGAAATTACTGAATTCAATATTTTTTTCTCTCAGAAATGTCAACCGGCTGTCATCTTTTTCTTTCTTTTTCCTCATATAGGATTGTCTTTAAGTATTTTATTTATTAACGTTTTGATACTTATATGTCTAAAGAATACTAGATTATGATACAGTGTTGCCGTTGTCATCTGGACAACAGTAATCCACAGATTCACCATCTGGACAATATGTTAAGAATTAGATACACTTATGTATATTGCTTTAAACAAGTTAATATTAAAAAAGCTTTTATGAATATAAGGTGATTAAGTTATCTGGATGATCTGCTCTGGAAAATTGTGCTCGATGACAAAGCTGCATGGATTAATGAAGCATGAGTTCAGAGAGGCAACAGTCTTTTTCAGTGCTTATTGTGTACACACCAACAGTAATGGATCTTTTTGTCAGAGTTCTGATAATTAAAGAAATGTACCAATTTCTGCAGATTCTTTAAATCAACAGTATGAAAAAGACAATTAGCAGGCAAAAACATTTAAACAATCACTAAAACACTGCACAGATACTAATACAAACTAATAAGTGATTTTCAGATAGTTTTTTAGTGGTTTTAAACTAAGGAGATACAATATACCTAGTAAAAATGTAATGAATAGAAATTATTAAATTTAAACACATACATATAATTTTGGCATAAAAAACTTTAATTTAAAAATTTAAAAAAAAAATTATTTACCAGTAGATAAGAAATAATACTTTTCGCAAAAGAAAAAATGTGTTTGTGAAACTAATGCAGAGATCAAAAATTTTGTTACCCAAAGAAAGGAATTGCATCAATGGATATACCTGATAAATATGAAAAACCAAGCACCAACCATTTAAAAGTTATGGTCAGCTTTAATGATTTCTAGAAGTGGGTCAAACTCTAGGGTCAAGGTCAAAGGGTCAAAATGAATTGTATGCAGGGGAAGACTTCGTCATAAGAAATACACATGCAAGATGAAAAAGCTCTAGCACCAACTGTTCAAAAGTTATGGCAAAGATAAAGTTTTTCAAAAGTAGGTTATACTCCAAGGTTAAGGTCAAAATCGATTGTAGCCAAAGGAAGATCTTGTCACAAGGAGTATACCTGTGAAATTTGAAATCCTTATCACTAACTGTTCAGAAGTTATGACCTACGTTAAAGTTTTTTAAAAGTGGGTCAAACTCAAAGGTCAAGGTCAAAAGGTAAAAAATATTGACACCTATGGAATGGTCTTATCACTATAAATATACATTTAAAATATGAAAGCCCTAGCACGAACTGTTTAAAAGTTACGGCCAAAGTTAAAGTTGGGTAAATATATGCAAAAGTGGGTCAAACTCCAAGGTCAAGAGGTCAAATATGTTAGTACTCAAAGGAAGGTCTTGTTACAAGGAATACACATGTGAAATATGAAAGCCATAGCTCCAACCAAACAAAAGTTATGGGCAAGGTTAGAGTTTTTGCGAACAGACAGACAGAAGGATGGACAGACGGACAGGGCAAAAACTATATACCCCCAAATCTTTGATTATGGGGGCATAAAAAAAAATCCAGCATGCTGGAATTGAAGTTAAGATCTACATTGTATATCACATTTTATTACATTTTCAACAGTGAAATACTGTAATTTATTTACTGAATAAAAGTGATATTCTGACACAGTGTGAAAGGGTATCAAAATCGTATTCTCACAGTGTGAGAATATCAGAAGTGCATCAAAACTTATGATTTTCCTTCACTTCACGAAGAGTGTTTTTTAAAAAAAATCCCTGGCCTGTTATAAGATAGAGTTAATGAGCCATCCTGCCAAAGTTTTTCCAAATATGTCATTGAAAATCCATGTTTACAACATTTTTTCAATCTTGCAATTGCTTATAGCTATGACGTCTCAACCGCTCAACTATGACGTCACAGCCTATGACACTGTGTTACAAAAAGTCAGAGGCAAAGGAAAAATCTTTAAGAAATGTAATAAACAGAAAATTCAATGATTTGTAGATGAATATGGAATTTATTTCACTAGTGAGACAGGATTTTTCATATTTTCACTCGTGCTTCGCACTCGTGAAAAAATCAAATAATCCTGTCCCGTTTGTGAAATAAATTCCATATTCAACTTCAAAACATTGAATATCGTCTATTTATGAGTGCATATGAAAGTGCTGTGCTTTATTTTCTTGGAAAGGCAATGAAAAAGTACAGGACAATTAAAATAAACTGGACCTTTAATTCTGCTGTTGTGATGTGCTCATCATCAGAAAATTATGTCCGCCTGTTATTTCATTTCCTCAATGATTAATCTAGACTTGTTTATATCTTTGACTACATTGAATTACTTTAAAAGTACAGTAAAACTTGTCTAATCCGGACACCTTTGGTCCCAAAGAAACTGTCCGCATTAGACAACATTCCGGATTAAACATTTTAAACAAATGAATTTGCCAAAAAGTACCTAAAGTTTACATCGTATTATGCAAGATTTTGGATTATACAACATCCAGATTAGACAAGTTTCACTGTAATTATGTCATAATATGTTCCATGCCAACATGATTCACAAAGTCATTGGGCATCATAATTTCTGTTTTCCTTCATATCGTTATAATAATTTTTTTTCTGGAATAAAGTATGAATTTCCCCATTCATATTATTCTTAAATAAATATGGTAAAATTTATGTGCTGACTGGATCTTTAATATGTTGTGTCGTGGTCAGGCAAGTTTGATTGCCGCTGGCCATGCATGCAGATATCTCAGTTAGTATAGCCCAGCTAACTAGTGATTTAGGGGACCAGGGTTTGAATCCTGGTCTGGTACATTTTCTACTTTCTGGTTATTGTTGAGATAAAAAAAAAGTACATTTACACATAATGGTCATAACCATGTACACTTGTAATACTCCTATAAGTAAAATATTTATGCACAAGAAAATTCTTTGTTAAAAATCCTTCATCTTGGACAAGTTTCCACACATAAATTCATTTACGGTATTTAAATGTTGAAGGAAAGTCCATATTAAGGTCCTGCATGTAAGAATATACATGTATGCAAATTCACTTCATTAAAATTTGCATCAATTTGCATTCACTGCACAATCTCTCCTTCCTGAAGTTTAAAGGAGAGACAGCAAGCATATAGTGTGATGAATGATAGTCTTTATTTATAGTACCTACAAGTAATAAGGCTTGTTTGTACATATAAACTTAACCTACAATTGGGAATGTATGTAGAGGAATTGGGCATATGTCCCTCAGTCAAAAAATAAAAAATTATGTGTTTTAAAGGTGATTGTGTAGTCATATATCTTGTACGTCGTCACCTCACTGCAGACATTGTTTTTTTGTAGTTTCTTCATTAATTTATGCAGTTGACATTTTATAATACCTCATCTTATGCTACAATATGGTCTGTCATTTGTCTTTTCTCTGCTGCACAACCCACTAAATTATACTGTTAATGAACTCTGTTTTATATATAGGTACAGTGTAACTAACTTTTTTGTCTGCTTCCTTGTTTTCAGACATTCCCCGTTCCATGCTGTCCCTGTTGAAGAACAAGGTGTACTTGATTACCTGTCTGGGGATCTGTTGTGAGATCTCTATAGTCAGTGGCTTTGTCGTGTTCCTTCCTAAGTACCTGGAAACACAGTTTGGCACCTCCACCTCCATGGCAAATCTGTTTACTGGTGAGATTGGGGTTTGTTAGTGATGAATGAAATGAGCCACATTTGTTGGTGTTTATTTTTACCAATAACACTTACCACATACTTTCTACACAAAGTGGAAATTAAAGGTCATACTGAAACCATATTTTTTTGCTCATGGTCACATATAGAGTTATTTTTGCTTGTAACAAAGTGCCTGGGACAGTCGATTTTGCTTCATTATAAACGTAATTTGTTATATCCATTGAGATCACACATTTTAGCGTCAATTCATTATAAGCGTGTTCCCTATAAGTGTGTTCCCTATAAGCACGTTTGCTATAAGCCTGTTTTACTGTAGCTTCCTCTTGGTTCATTACCGCTCTGTTCATTCATGTGAAATTTTGCTTCAATGTGTAGGATTTTCCAAAAGAAATCTATTTTATAATTTAAATGCACACAAGTATGCATTGTAGTGCAAAATTTGTCAGAAATGGGCATACAATATTTGTTTGATTGTTCTGAATATCTACTTTTAATCATTCATTTTCATGACAGGTGCTTTGCACAGCAACACAGACAAGTTTTTTTCAAATGGTTTCTGTTCTCAGAGGGTCTTGACCAAGAAGAATCAATTAATTTCCATGAAGTACCAAAAATGATCATCATTTTTACCTTGCACTTATGTTAACATGGAATAGAGTACCTTATCCTCAAGTATTTGTATAAATGTTTGATTGTGTGTCGGTGCTATGATGTACCATATGTGAACATTTCAGCCTCAAACTGTTCATTGGGAAAAGGTGGTCAAGGGAAAATAGCCCATTATTTTTGTGCACTAAAGGCAACCATTATTTTTGTGCACTAAAAATAAGGTCATATGAAAATAAGAATTCAGAAGGGGTTCATTTGAACTTTAGTCTGACACAGAAATTTGACAATTAAAGGATACACTGCTTTGCATAACCCAATTTAACATAACTTTATTCTGCTTAAAACTTTCATGATAAAGTTGCAGTCCCCTACTGTAATGTTTCATCGTAGAATTTTTATAATCATTTTAATTTTGTGCTAAATAACAAATTAAGCAAACTGATTTTTTCCTTACAGGTGCTATTGGCATTCCTGGAGCAGTAATTGGTATTCTAACAGGGGGATTTCTTCTGAAGAGGTTCCAGTTAAAACCAAAAGGTAAACATTTCTAATGAAAAGGGTAAATAATCAGAATTCCACATTTATTGCAAGGAATATCAACATTGGTTTATTTGTCTGTCTGTTGATTTTTTTATCCTGAAGTAGTTTTGATTAGAATTTGGCATACACAACTGGGATTTTTATGAGATGAATATCAATAAAAGGGAGAGTGCAGAATGAATTTGGTCAGGGCAAAGGCCAGTGAAGCGTGGTGTTTAACAAAAGCCCTTTGTTTTTAAAATTTAATATATGTTATTTCAATGGCTAACTGTTATACAGTTATCTTTTAGTATGTTGATACTCTCATTTATGGACAGTGGAAAGATGTAATACTTACAGACTAGATTGATGGGATGAATAGTGTTCTACAAGAGCATGGATAAAATGATAGTATTGGATAAATGAAAGTAGAAAAATATTTGAGTCTATCAGATTTTTCCAGCTAAATCAGCTCACCCCACATGATATACAATGTACTATTCATTATTAGAATGCACTTGTGTCAATGGTATTCCTGGTTTGAGTGTTTTCATGAATTATGCTTTTCTTTAAGAAAGAGTAGTAGTTTCTACTTTTAAAAAAAAGGCAAAATTAGAGAATTTTGATGCCCTGCTTTTGCGGTTTTATTGGTTGGGGTGCAGTTATTTGTGGTATAATGCAACATTATTGTCTATCTCTTCATGTGCAAAAGTTCAATTTGAAAATTAGGTCAAGCTGCCAAGGTCACAATGTCAAAAATAATAGTTCTCCCTGAAAGGTATCACAGGTACATGTAGAAATATGAACACCCTTTCTTCTCTCATTCAAAAGTTATTACAGATGTTAAAATTTTTGAAGAATAGGTCAAACTTCAAGGTCGGGGGGGGGGGGGGGGGGGGGGGCAAAATTTATAGTATTTTTGGAAAGGTCTTGTCACAGGTAATGCGCGTATTAGAAGAAGTTTGTTTTAATGAAACTACATTTACATGTATGCTAGCAGGTAGCTCCACGAATTCATGACTAGGACTGAGTGTGCACATTTCAGCCAAAAAAATTCTAAGTAGATGTTAGTGCCCAGGGGTGCTAAGAGTAATAGCACACTCTCCAATCACAACTATCTGACTTTCATATTACTTTTCATTTGTGTGAATTGATGAGAGAATAGCTTTTGAAACAATGTGTTTATGAGATAAAACATTTATTGTACTTTATCAACACAATCATTCAGCTATCCTTGAAGAATAATAGCACAGCCAGTCCATTGGGCTAAGTAAATTTTGTTTTCCTCAGCTAAATGATGGTTTTGACCTTATGAAAATCAATACATGTAATAATAATTGTATAAAATCGACAGTCAAACAAGGATAAATGACTTTACAATAACAAGAAATTTTCATACCATTGACCTACTGTGACTTCAACATGATTTATTTTATTCAGCTACAGCTTTAGCAATAACAACCTATGGAAATAAGGCAATCCTCTATTTATTATTGTATTCATTGTAATTACAGGAGCCATTCAGCTGACCCTCTTGCTGGACTCCCTTGCTTTGCTTGGTTTCCTGTCCTTTCTGGTGCTGGGGTGTGAGAATCCCAAGATAGCAGGAGCCACCTTTCCATATCATGCTTCTATCAACATGAACAGGTAAGGAGTTTTCAGAGTATCTCTCACCTGGGGAAAACATACAGAGACAAAAAAAAATGGTGACTAATAGGGCATAAACAAGACATGTAATATCATGGCAAGAATATTTAAGACGGTATCACTGTAGAAAAAAAAAGTATTCCCCCATTTTTGAAAGCTGAAAATTTTAGCAAACTTATCGATATCAATGTGTTCATCCAGGAGAAATTACTGTATACAGGGAAATTTTTGCCCCCGTTTTATTTTCGTCCCTTTCGCCCTTCTCACAGGTGAACAAATTTGAAACGGGTTGAATTCATAGAACATAGTATAATTTCTTAAACAGAACTGCATCTGGGTGAATTTAAAATGGGGAAAATTGTTTGCAAGTGTGAAAGGGTGAAAATAAGACGGGGCAAAAATAACCCTGTATACAGTAATTGTATACAATTTTTTACTTGCATTTTTTTTTTTAGTTCAGAGCTGGAGGAGTTTGAGATAGAAGCCAATCTGACGTCCACTTGTAACATTGGCTGTTCCTGCTCGAATAATGACCTTGAGCCAATCTGTGGCATTAATGGCATTACGTATTTTTCACCTTGTCACGCAGGCTGTACCCAGTTCTTCTCTCATATCACAACAGAAGAAAAGATGGTGGTAGGTGGCAAATAAAAGGAATTATGTTCAAACTATGTAGAATCCAGATATTGTTAGGTTTTCTGTTCACTGTGAAAAATCACTATTCAATTAGACAAATTAAACTGCATGAGTATGTTTTTAAAACTCTCCATTGCCTTTGGTCAGAAAATGTAGTTATGATACAAATAAACTGTACAAACATATAATTCTGTCTTTTGATTACAGAATTTCAGTGGTTGTTCTTGTATCATGGAAAACTCGAGCATTTCCCCAGAAGTGATCATGTCCCCCGTGGCAACCAGTGGACCATGTAAATCCACCTGTCAGAACCTGCTACCTTTCCTAATTCTTCTGGTGATCCTCACCTTTACTGTGGCTGGCACACAGATGCCCCTCCTTATGATTACACTCAGGTATCTTACAGATATATAATAAGATACAGAGATATACAATAAGATACAGAGATATACAATAGCACACAGATGCCCCTCGATCCTCATGATTACACTCAGGTTACTTAAGATATACAATAAGATACAGAGATATACAATAAGATACAGATATACAATAGATACAGAGATATACAATAGCACACAGATGCCCCTCAATCCTCATGATTACACTCAGGTTACTAAAGATATACAATAAGATACAGAGATATACAATAAGATACAGAGATATACAATATGACAGAGATATACAATAGCACACAGGTGCCCCTCGATCCTCATGATTACACTCAGGTTACTTAAGATATACAATAAGATACAGAGATGTACAATAAGATACAGAGATATACAATAAGATACAGAAACATACAATAAGATACAGAGATATACAATATGACAGAAATATACAATAGCACACAGGTGCCCCTCGATCCTCATGATTACACTCAGGTTTCTTAAGATATACAATAAGATACAGAGATATACAATAAGATACAGAAATATACAATATGACAGAGATATACAATAGCACACAGGTGCCCCTCGATCCTCATGATTACACTTAGGTTACTAAAAATATACAGTAAGATACAGAGATATACAATAAGATACAGAGATATACAATATGACAGAGATATACAATAGCACACAGGTGCCCCTCGATCCTCATGATTACACTTAGGTTACTAAAAATATACAGTAAGATACAGAGATATACAATAAGATACAGAGATATACAATAGCACGCAGATGCCTCTCGATCCTCATGTTACACTCAGGTAACTCACAAATATACAATTGGATCCAGTTTTGTGGTGAAGTGATAACTCAAAGGGTTTCAACAAAGTGTTTTCAAATTTTGTACATAAGAACTTTATTGTTATAGACTTTGGGGCCATATCACTTTGACTGTCTGTACATTTCTTTGAATGAATATCAATGTCACGTTGTTTCTTCTTAATACCATAATTATATTACAGACTTAGTATAGTTGTCACTTTCTTTTGAATGGAACAGGTTTGATAATAATCAACAGCAAATTGATGTTAATTGAAAATCATTGATTTCCTTTTTAAGTTAAAGTTGATAGATTTAAAATGCTTATATTTTTATATTTTTTCAAACCGTCTCTTTGAGTGAGCTATAAATGGAATTTTTTTTTTTTAATTTAATTTGTTTTCTGTTGTAGGTCTGTCCATGAAGAGGAGAGATGTTTTGCCCTTGGTCTTCAGTTTGTCATTCTGAGATTGTTTGGTAGGTTTATCCAGGGACATTTCATTGTATTTACTTCTACACTAATGTATCTCCAAGCTATAATGTCTTTAAGGATGGTAACAAGAATCCAAAATACACACCTAAGTATCACTAAATGTTACTGTTATTGAGGTGAAAGTAGAAGTAATATGTGATAGTGTGCTTATAATATCTGCATGTCAGTGTCATTTTGTTGCTGATATTTTTTCACTTATTTGTAGCGTACATCCCCTCTCCTATAATGTTCGGGAACACCATTGATACAGCCTGTCTATTATGGAGGGATTGGTGCGGAAGTTCGGGGTCATGTTCAATCTATGACATTGTACAGTTTAGATATCGATATATAGGTATGTTATTAAGTATAGACATTGAAAAGTTTTACATCTAAATATGTAAATAGAAAATAATATTCAATTTGGGCTTTGTAGTTATTTTTGTACCTCAGGTGAGCTTGCCTAATTCTTTAAAAGATCATTCTTGTCTTGAAAAGTCTACCTCTAAGACAAATAGTGTCCCTGTTTTGAAAGTTATGTTTTAATTGATTTAAAGTTTAAAACCTTTGTAGTTAGCCAAAATCATTTTCTAGCTGAATCATGAATTCATCATCCTCTAAGATAAGGATGATGCTTCATTTAGGGAAAAATTTATTTCATTATTTAGAAAGTATAAAATCTTAAAATAATTTTCATTGCATCTGAATACTGTAGACATACTTTTTTCCACACGGGAGATTTCTGTGCTAACTCTGCAGACACAAAAAAAATTGTGGAATTTCATCCTCACAGACTACAAACTCTATGTAGGCAAAAGCATGTCATATTCATTATAATAACAAACATTTTGAGAGTAATGCATTAGCAACACTAATCCCCTACCAGGAAGTGTAATCTGGTTCCCATTAGAAATTGAAAATGCCATATAAAAATCAATGAAACGGAACAAATTGCAAATTTAATCTATAACTCATCAAGGTAAACTCACATATCAAAAATCAGCTCAGTATCTGCAAGTGTTTAGAAAAAAAATTCAGAAATTCTTTAAAAATTAAAAAGGACATCGCTGAAGAGGGATGAAATACTAAGTAAATCTGTAACTCATCAAGATACACTTATAAATATCTGCAAGCGTTTAGAAAAAAGAGTGGAAAACCGAGGACAGACAGACAGAGGGACAGCTAGACAGACAGACAGATGGACAGAGGAGGAGGAAACCTCTAGTTCCCTTAGATTTCACCAGTAGGGGATTAATAAATGTGACGATCATTTTGCATTCATGGGGAGTTTAAATTGTGTAAATATTTTGAACTGACTAATTTATTTATTAATTTAATGCAACTTAAGTATTAATAAACATTATCAGTGTGTTTTCTTCTGAAATGAATAATAATTGATGTAAAACTGCATGCCTACTGGTGTCTTAGGATCACACCTTGTGACACATGCAAATTAGGGATCCAATCCCCAGGTTGTTTACACAGTCAATGTCTACCAATTGGCTTCACTCGTAATCATGGTGATTGTAATGAAAAAAAACATCGGTAGTTGAAATTTTGATGCTATATATTAACATACTTTTATTATGAGTTTTTAATAATAAATTGTAAAAATAAAACAGCATGCATCATAAAATATGTGTATAGATAAAAGGTTTGAATGGCAAAAAAGTTGCATGTCATAAAACTGAAGAAAAAAAACAACACATGAGCGCAATCCAAGAAAATGTAATAATTACTGCTTACGTAAACTTAATTTAAAGTAGTACTGCTAGATGAAAGCATTTAACAGCGGTTGTAAAATGGAGACATGATACCAGTACTACAGTTTACAATTTTCCATGGAAATATGTATCCTCAGACTAAACAGAAAATGCAAATCTGCGGAAACATGACCCCTCAGACATAAATGATCTACAGTATCACTGAATGAATATATGTGTATCTTAGACAGTGGAACATCAACTTAATTTCATCTTTTAATGACTGTGTGTCTATGGATTTTTTTTCCTCTGCTTTGAAAACTTCGATTTTCCATGTTTTCTTTTAATTTCAGGAATTTCAGCTGGTCTGAAATTTATGGGAACTGTGTTTTTCCTCGTTGTATGGATTCTTATGCGTCGACAGATTAGAAGAGATTTACAGTTAAATCTTCCTGTAAGTTTTCATCCAGAACTTTTAAAATATATAATGTGATGCTTTTAAATCAGAAACATTTCTCTGTTAATGTTTATGTACTGCTTGTCAGTTCCTCAAGTACCACCTGATTTGAGAGCATTTCCCATTTCTTGTAAGTTTAGATCTCTGTTCCTAGGTAGAAAAATAGTTGTTTCAATTTAAACTTCAAAATTTTTATTACAGGTTGGTGATATTATGTCTTCTATGAATTCCATAAATAAGTTAGACCTTGACTACCCTCAGCGCCACTCCCTCCCCCGACGGGGGTCTGGAGATCAGACTCAGGCCATGGTTGAGGACCACCAAGCACCAAATGAGTCCAGCCTGTGATATTTATCAAATCAAAACATATATCCTCACTCCGTATTGCCAATGTTTGTAATTTTAATAACATGTACAATGATTGTATATCACAATTTTTTTTTGTAAATATCAGTTGTAATATCATTTTTTTTTGGCCACTGTTTATCCCACGTGTCAAATGGTGTATATACATATATATATATTTATAATATGTATCAGACAATTGTGTTCATGTTACGTTTTCCTTGTTTCAATATATACAATGTAATTTTGTCATAATATCTTGTGAAAAGAATTTCCTTCATGCAGAATGATAATGATAGCTTGTTGACTCTTTAAGGTATTGACGGATTGTAGTCACAAAGCAGAGGTTATCAGGATTATAATAGTTGTCAGTAATGATAAATCGCCCAAAACGGCATTTATTGAATCGGCTTTAGATGTGCAATGTACATATCTACAACATATATTGTCCTGTATATCACTATGTAAATTGTCAAATAATTGTGAAGTTTTTGTCCTGTTTTTTGAAATTATCAAATATTTGTGAAATTCATGTTTTTGTGACATGTAGAAGTTCTTTGTGTTGTTGATGTTCGTGTGATAGTTACAATGTAGCAAACATTTGTATCAGGGAAAGGGAATAGATGAAGTTAGAGAGATTTTAAAGTGATGTGGTTTATAACTTAGTGTTTATTTTGAAAGTCTTTGCGTTCAAGTGTATTTTTTCTTAACCAATGTCAAAATTTAAAAAAAAAAGTTAAGTTCTCATAAGAAAAAGGAAAATTACAAGTTAATTACATTGCAGCTTTGCAACCTATAAAATAGTTGCCATGTCGAGGATATTCCAAGTTTTTCAAAAAAATATTGATAAATCTTAGTTTACCAGCAAGCTGGCTCAATGACTATATCTCAATATGTAGAAAATATCTGTAAATTTCTAAGGAAAGTAAATTCTCAAAAAATTGGAACATTATTTTTACACCTGCATCCCTATGTCCAAACACTCAAAATTTCGCACCATATTCCTTGATTTTTTTTTTAATTGATAATAGTTTTGAAGGTAGAATAATAGAACAAGAGATATAAAATATGTTTTAAGTTCTAATTTAATGATGTTATTCATGCCTAAAAACAACAAGCACATTCACACTTTGTTTAAGAGCTCTTGAAGGAAGGTACATGTAACTTATGTACAGTTGTAGGGATTGAAAAGTGTTCCAAGGGAAAAAACTCTGGCAGTCATGCATACTGAGCATTAGATTTATATAACTTCAGCTTTGGCATTATAATTATTAGTGCTAATAAAATATATAACAAAGAACTTTTTATTTTAAATAGGAATGAAGAAAAAATTGTAAGATGGGTCAGAGCTTATATAATCTTGTATTTACTGTAAGTAATTATTTATTAATACTCCCCAGTATAAATAGCAATGCAATATACATGTGTTCAAGGAGGAATACAAAACATGTTATTCCCAATTGTAGCCCAGAAAGTGTTCAGATTAGAAATATTCAGTCAAAGTTTTGATTAGTTCTTGCCAGATTGCTTGTAGGCCATATATTTTATAAATCATAAGTTAGAAATTACGCAATACATGTATTTAGAGTCGAGGCTAATTTTTAGTCAGTGAGTTGCCTCTTTATATTGATAGTGAAATTATGCTTGCCAGATTACTTGTATTTTATTACAGGAATGAATTATTTATATGTTTGGAAAGGAGTTTCAATGTATTGGTTATTTATTTTCATCAATGTCTAATAATTTCAGATAATGAACTAGTAGTTATTTGAGAATTATAATTGCATACCCCCAAAAAACAAAATTGACATTCATATGTCCCCCCCCCCCCCCCCCAACCAACCAACCAACCAACCAAAAAAAAATATGATCACTCTGAAGAATAAATATAGGAAATGAAAATCAATTTAAAAAAAGATGTTTTGTGAATAGAAGACTAACTTGAAGGTAATTTAATAGAGCTGATATGTTAAATACAAAAGTTTTACGTATTTCATTGGTACTTGATTGGGCATACATATGTAATAAGAGGAAGTTATATAGTTCTGCTTGTAGCAATTTACAAATTCCTTTCTTTTTTGTAAAGTTTGATGCTATATAATATTTTTCACCTTTTAATCTTTTCTTAATCAATGCAATTTTACTGTGTTTTTGTGCATTTGCTCTGTATTCCATGTTTTTGTTCTTGGCAGTTATTTTCCAAAATAAGTTAATTGTTAAAATAATGAATCTTTTGGAAATTTGTTATTAATCTTGGTTTTTGTTTACCTAGAAGTGATCAAATGTGATACATGATCTGTTTTAAAATAAAGTTTAAACACTATCCATTCTATTCTTGAAATTCAAAAGGCCTTTTGATTACTATTAAAAGGCTCTGGCACCTCTCTTCTTAGGATTGTCCATTTGCTAGCCATTTGCTTTGTTATAGACACTTTGCATTTACATAATCATATTATGGATGCTTTTTTGCACATACTGGTATGCTTCGAAGGTAGTTGCAAGTTCAAACTAGTGATTTTAGACTTTATTAATACAATTCAGAATTAGATGATTTGCAGTCTCATTACAAATTGATTATGTAACACTTATCTGTGAAAGATGAATGGAGAAAAACTCTAAAAAAAAATATGAAAGATAGGTACTATGGGTTTTTTTAAGGGTAGGTGAGGGCAAGTGGGGTGGGGGAACAAAATCTGATGTGTTAAAAAATAGGATAGAAAGTCAAACAGATGCATTGTCCACCTTGAAGGGTACTTAGACAAAACAAAACATCTGTATTAGCTTGTATATACTAGAAAGTGAGTTTGACTTTCAGAATATAGATGATAAGATTTACACTTTTGCGGAATGATGAGATTTACACTTGTACAGGATGTTGAGATTTACACTTATACAGGATGAGGAGATTTACACTTGTATAGGATGTTGAGATTTACACTTATACAGGATGAGGAGATTTACACTTGTACAAGATGTTGAGATTTACACTTATACAGGATGTTGAGATTTACACTTGTATAGGATGAGGAGATTTACACTTGTACAAGATGTTGAGATTTACACTTATACAGGATGTTGAGATTTACACTTGTATAGGATGTTGAGATTTACACTTATACAGGATGAGGAGATTTACACTTGTATAGGATGTTGAGATTTACACTTATACAGGATGAGGAGATTTACACTTGTACAAGATGTTGAGATTTACACTTGTACTGGATGATGGGAGATTTACACTTGTACAGGATGTTGAGATTTACACTTGTACAGGATGAGGAGATTTACACTTGTTACAGGATGAGGAGATTTACACTTGTACAGGATGAGGAGATATAAACTTTTACAGGATGTTGAGATTTCACTTGTACAGGATGTTGAGATTTACAACTTGTACAGGATGAGGAGATTTACACTTTTACAGGATGTTGAGATTTACACTTGTACAGGATGTTGAGATTTACAACTTGTACAGGATGAGGAGATTTACACTTTTACAGGATGTTGAGATTTACACTTGTACAGGATGTTGAGATTTACAACTTGTACAGGATGAGGAGATTTACACTTTTACAGGATGTTGAGATTTACAACTTGTACATGATAAGGAGATTTACATTTTTACAGGATGTTGAGATTTACACTTGTACAGGATGAGGAGATTTACACTTGTACAGGATGAGGAGATATAAACCTTTACAGGATGTTGAGATTTACACTTGTACAGGATGTTGAGATTTACAACTTGTACATGATGAGGAGATTTAAACTTTTACAGGATGTTGAGATTTACACTTGTACAGGATGAGGAGATTTACACTTTTACAGGATGAGGAGATTTACACCTTTACAGGATGTTGAGATTTACACTTGTACAGGATGTTGAGATTTACACCTCTACAGGATGTTGAGATTTACACTTGTCCCGGATGAAGGAGCTGGTTATGGTAATTTGGTAGGCTTTTCATATTCACTAGGAAACCTTATGTACATATAAATTAAACTGTTCTTACTCTAAACACCCCCTGTATAACCACCATACTTATATTTCATTCTTCTAAACCTGTAAGAATACTATTAATCATGTATAAATCTGTCTCACTCCATGCTGCAAGTTACAGGTTTCTGTGTCCATTCTATTTCCACAAAATATACTGAAATTTATTTATAGTTTATTAATCAGGTTACAAACAAAGCTTATTTGGCCAACTGTTCAGTAAAACTCATGTAATCTCATGAGATAGGAGGGAGTATATCCCATTAATATCAGCTGTAAATGAGGATATATGAATCCCAATGCTAATCTAGTCGTGAGATTACATGAGTTTTACACATTATCTAGTCAAAATAAATTTATATGTGAAATATAGAAATTCAGTTTAATGTATGTTTCCGTATTAGTAAATTATGGACCTGATGTGTATTTTATATTTGTTCTGCCAGTGACCTTGATCTCGCCACAATGACCTTGGGTCAAGGTAATGGCTTACCGGGTACCTTCAACTCAAGAATAATCTTCATTAAAGGAGATGGGCGAACATAGCGTGCAGAAAGCCTTTAGCTTCAGAAATATAAAAATCATGTTCAGTTTGTGAATTTAATATTTAGAGTAAAGTTCTCATTATTGAAATTTATGTAATTGTGATAAACAAAACTTTTCTGAGGAAAATTTTCTCGGCAAAATTTATTCTTTTATTAAAAAAATTAATGTGTTATTCGTGGGGTTCGAACCCTAGCAATAAAAATCCTGAGAATCATTTTCTTTCGAGACTAGCACGCTAACCACTAGACTAAACAAGTCCTGACGAACAGTGGCATTTAAATCATGTTTGTGATATGACCCTTGACTTAATGGACTTCAAGTATTTCTCGAAAAGATGCGAATGTTATGTCATAAAAGTATATTTTTAAGGTATAGTGGGTCATTGCTCCATATTTTTGGTAACCAAAAAATGTATATTTTTATGCAAACTTTGAGGATTAACTTTCAAAAAGATGGAGCGAAGACCCACTCATATCGAAAAATAGTGTTATAGTATGCGAAAATGACTCTTCTTGCCCGCTTTAGTGTGTGTCTAATATTTCACAGGCAAATAATTTCAATCTTTGAGGGATTTTTGCAAATTGTAGAGATTTTACATAAAGTATATTTTAATGTTAGACGAAATATCAAGGAAAATTTTGATATAATAGAAATTTAATTTTTCATCTCCATGTTCACCCATCTCCTTTCAATTTCCAATACTTATCCATTGGAGAGTAATAACCTAGACAAAATTAAAAAAAAAATTCAAGTGACCCTACACTTACCTGAATGATCTTGAGTCAAAGTCATGACAAACCTTTAGGACATAAGTAATATTTGTTTGAGGTATGGACTTCCTATGTTTTTCCCCATTAGAAAGTTATGAATAAATTGAACATTTTTTTTTCTGCCAGTTGCCTTGGAATTGCCAAAATGACCTTGGGCCAGATCATGACACACCTATAAATCATAACCAATCATTGCATCAAGTATCAAATTCTAATTAGCCTCTATTGGGGAAGTATAGAAGGAAACAAATGATACAATTACTCTGCCAGTGGCTTTGAACTTGCTGGAAGGATCTCGGGTCAGTCAATACATATCCTCAATTCATATGCAATATTTGTGATAAGAATAAGGCTCTTATGTTTTCCAAGTCAAGACGAGACTAAAGCATTTTTTCTGGAAGTGACCTTGAACTTGATCAAATGACATTGAGTCAAAGTCATGACACCTATTTGTATGAGATATGAACGTCCAATGCTTTTCCATGAGGAAGGTGTAAACCCAATGTATAATTAAAATCAGACTTCTTAAATCCGCGCCGTATACACTCTTACGCAGAGTGTATACAGCACAAATCTATAAGAAGTCTAATTTTATTTAGATTGGTGTAAACCGGACACAAATTTTATCTTTTTTCTGCTAGGGGCCTTGTAGTTGCAGAATACCTTGTGTCAAGGTCATGCCATATCCTTAGGTTGTAAACAATCTTTGTACTAAATATGATTTTCCATAATTATTCTCCATTACAATACAGTACAGGCCACGAGTTTTCCCCGTCGCACGGTGGAAAACACACCGTGTGAAATGGTCTGTGTTACACCGTGTACACGGTGTAGCACGGTGTGTGTGGATTTGAAATACACAGGTAGGCACACCGTGCCGCACCGTGTCTAGAAAAATCCCAGCTAATGCTCCCCATGTCGCACCGTGCCCAGAAAATTCCCTCCGTGTCGCACCGTGTCCATAACATTATAAAGATAATCTTTTGGTTCTGATAAAAACTTTGAAATTTAAAAACAATGAATCACTTTGATTTATATGTATAATTATCGTTTTAAAATCTAGAAGACATTGACTGTGCTATGAATCGTACTAATGACACATGTAGTAGGATTAATTAAATATCGGTAGCAGAAAATTTAAATGGTTTTGAATTTATCGTGCGCCCAGAAGTTCGTATTTAATTTTAGTAAAGTTATTTAGTTACATTATAAAATTATAATTTGGGTTGAAATTTTTAATATCCGAAGAATTTTATTCTATGTGCTCATGCAACGAAGAAAGACTAAATAGCGTAATCCATCGATCTGCATTACATGTAGAATACGATCCGAGCTGCAGTTGTTTTAGTACACAATCAAAGCATTAATTAATTTTATATTCCCGAGTAGAGCACATTTATGTTGTTAATCTTATATTATTCTGAATTTATAAGCGAGAATCGACAGCAAAAATACGAAATCCCTGTGTACAATAATGTGCGTATATTTCTCGTAACAGATTTTCATAAACTAGTATTTTGAAAATCCTTTCAGTGTAAGTATGTAATAAATTTGTCTTTAATTGAAAAGTGTTGAAAGAAACAATGTCAGAGAGAGAGAGAGAGAGAGAGAGAGAGAGACCATTTCGCATAAATCTGTAAAAAACAAAACAAAAACAAAACAAAACAAAAAAAAAAAAAAAAAAAAAAACACATAAAAAAAATCTTCGTTTTATAATGTCCAAGAGTATTTCTCGTAACAGACGATTGTCTTTATCTTTTCATAAACTAGTATTTATGCTTTTAAAATCCTTTCAGTGTAAGTATATAATAAGTTTTTATTTGAATGAAAAGTGTGCAAAGAAACAATGTCAGAGAGAGAGAGAGAGAGAGAGAGAGAGAGAGAGAGAGAGAGAGAGACTGAGATTCTTATAAATTTAACTCATCGTTTTATTTACATTACCTAAGTCACAATTAACCATTCTATAAAGTATACTATTTAAATTCCGTAACTTCGTTTCATATTCAACTC